TAGAATCAAATAATGTATATATTATTATATTAAAACCAATAATTCATTTTTAAGCAAGTGATTTAAACTATTATTTAGTATTAAATTTGCTAAGATATCAAAAGTTATTAAATTAATTGTATGTGTGCATATATATATATATATATATATATATATATATATATATATAGATAGATATATTTTTAATAGTATCACAATTTTTAGATCTAATCTACAACCAAATTTGATGTAATTTTGATTCTTATTCTATTTCTTTTATCATATGAAATATAATAAAAACTAAAATATGATTAATGTATTACAAGAAATAATTAGTTTTCTATCTAGTTTTAATTTATATAGTAACTTAATGTTGTTTGGTTTTTTTTCTTATACTAAAAGTATATTGTTTAGTTTTTTATTTCTTTTTTCTTTTTTGTAGATAATATTATATCTACTATTATATGTTTTGGTCTTGTAAAATAGACATATATGAAATGGTAAATTTAAACATACATTAGCAAACTTTAAAATCTTTAAAATTTAATTTAAATATTTGAAATTTTTTTAAAAAAAATAAAAAGAAATTAGAACCTTTTAAAACTTTTTATAAGATTTTAATCTTTTCTGCATTCTAACTTATTATTTTAAATTTTACTAATGATTTTTTTTTATAATTACCGTATTAACTTTATTTTCTATTTTTTTTGGTAGTAAAGAAGTTAAGACTTCTTCAAATTTTTATTAAATCTAATATATATATATATATATATATCACTTTATACTTGGAAGCCTAATTTAAAAGACCATGGTTAAGAAGATTTATTGAAGCCCTATGCTTGATGAAGAATAACCTTCTTTTATAAGCCTTGGCCTTTGGATATGGTGTAAAGTAGAAACATGATAGAAAATAAATAAAATCATTATGTTATTACATGCAATATGTTAGTTTGTATCTTATTTTAAGAAATTTTTAAAATTAAAAGAAAAAATAAATAAATAAATAAATAATGGCTATTATAAGCATTTTTAGATACAACTTCATAAATTATTCTAAAAACCACATATAGAAAAATGATTATATATATATATATATATATATATATATATATTCTATCTTCTTTTTTTTCTTTTTTTTTCTTTGTTTTTTTTCTTTTTTTTCTTTTTTTATAGGTCTTTGGACTTATTTTTCTAAGTATATAGCCAACTTAACCAGAGTTTTTAGTTTCAACCAACCAAAAAATTCAAAAGATGCAGCTTCTCACCTTATCTTCTCAATATAAAATATTCCAAATAGATGAATAGTTATAAAGATTAAATATAAACCTATACAAATAATTATGTGTTTCAAATTATACTGCTAGATTTTAACAACTTGCATGAATATATATATATATATATATATATATATTCAAACAGAGAGAGAGAGAGGAAAAAAGAATAAAAAATAAAAAAATAAGAGAGAGAGAAAGAAAGAAAGAGAGAGAGGATTTCATATGATATAAATAATTTAATTTTAAAAAAATCAAATACAAAGTTAAGTCATTCAAATGCAAAATGAAAATTATTAAATTTGGTTTAAATTGCAAATAAAAAAATAAAATATATTATATTTTACTAAAACATATATATATATATATATATATATAAAAAAAATGGTTATAGATATAATTTATAAAAATATAATATTTTTATAATAAATATGTTTATTTATATATAAAAAGAATTATGTAGTTATGTACTACTAACTTATTTATCATCCTATGTATTTTTATTATTGAAATTTTGTATCATACCTTAAAATCCCTTGATGAGTTAAAGAAAAATATAAAAATATTTGTATAAAAACAATTTTTCTAAGTTGAATATTAACATGTATTACTAATAATATTTATATTCTCCAAAAATACTAAGTTATTGTAAAGAATGACTTTTTGATATCTATTGAAGGTATTTATGGATTACTTATGTTGTTAAGAAATTGAGTAAAGAAAAAAAAGCAACCATTTAGAAGGAATTGCAGCATGTTGAATATCATGTATTTACTTCATAATCAATGAATCTTTTTAAAATTTTGTAATTTACAGACTTCTATAACTTAGACTATACAATTTAGAGATAGAATATCACAATCAAGAAAAATCTCTTAAAGCATATCAATTAAAAAAAATAAACTGAAAATATTTATTTTATGTATTTATATGTAAGAATATTTATAGAAGAATCCAAACTAGACAAAATATTTGCCACGTATTTTATATTATCAAATACTCCAATTATCAGTATTAAAAGAGATTTGCTTTTAATGTGGATATATTACCAAATCATCAACTAAGTGATTGAATAATTAAATTAACAAAAAAACCTATATTTGGATCAAAGTAAAAAATTTTGCAAAATAAATTAACTATATTGCAAAAATATATTATGAATATGTATTCATTTTTTGGAAATAAACAAGTTGATTTTACAAAATAAATCTCATCAATACAAATTTGATTGCAATTGGAATAATTTAGAGAAAACTGTATTTTTTAAAATATTTTAAAAGTCCCATTACTTCTTTAAATAATCGCATTTTAATATAATTCTTAGATTTTTAGCTTTTAATGTGAAAAAATAAAAAGATTACAATTGTTATATAATTTACTTTAAAACGCAAAATTTGAATATTATTAACTGTAAAATATTTTTCATGAGGAAAGTTTTGTAAATTTTACCATTTATATTAAAGAACTTAATATGAAATATTATTACTTAAATCATAAAAACTCAAAATTATTTTTAAGTTTATAGTTCTTGGAATTCACATGAAGCCAAATAAGGTGCAAAAGCATCTTGGTTTCACATGTGGTCTTATCACATCTAAATAGTATTAAATGATAACTGCATTTGTTTTTTCAACAATATTTTTTTATCATGTTAAGAAAAAAAAAATATTATGTTGGATCAACAAAAGACAAATTCTCAAAGTTAATGCAATTTCGTTTTGAAACAACATTAATGCCAATCTTTAACAACTCATCTAAAAAATAAAATAAAAATTTAAGATGCAAAAGAACTGAAATTTAGTTTAGATAGTATTACTAATATTTAACAATTAATTGAACGTCCAAATTTATACATAAAAAATTATGTTTGAATTTGAAAAATAACTTCTTTACTTAATGAGATTATCACATGTGGCCTTTTGACTTTTTGTTATTCAAACATTAAATTATTTTTATTGGATAATATTATGGGTTTGTAAATAAATTAATAAATAAATGGTATCATAAAATTAGGGGCGGTAAAAAATTTAGAAGTTTATAAAAGAATTCATAAAGTCTGTAAAGCATGTAAAGAGCTAAGATTTCAAAGACATCTACCGCATAATCTTTTTCAAACACTTTTCATTCCAAAAAGCTCATAATCAATGATATAAATAGAATTTATTCTAAGTTTTTTATAGTCTAATAACAAGGACTCAGCATTGATTAATATAAACTGTTTCACCACAATAGATTATCATATCTTCTAAAATAAAAATATTAATCGAGCAAAGAACAATTAGCATTTTTTTAAAAACATATGCCACATTTATAGACTTCCAAAGGATATTACATTATAATAAAAATTTACAATTCACAATAACCTTTTAGAGAAGAATATATCTAATTTTAAGTATATCCAATTTTATGCAAATACCCAAATATAAGCATTTTATGATAAATTATACACATCAATTAATTTTTATTTTTTAATATTTTTCATTTAAATTTAAGATTATTTATGCTTTTCATGATCTCCATTAAACTGATGGTTATCTTTAAAGTCTTCTTTGTAGTACCTTCTATTTGAGTTTTATTATTTTGTTAAACTAGCTTATACATGCAGTATTTGTATATATATATATATATATATATATATAATTCTCTTTTAATATACTGTGCATCACTATTTACTGCATGTTTATCAACACAATTGCAATCTTATTTTCAAAGATAAATATTGAAAAGTTATTAACGTATGAAATTGGATGGAATAATGATTAATGTTCATAAAAAAATTAATTCAACTTTGAAAATAATTTATATAATTATACTCAAAATCGATCTTCAACATTGAGAACTATGTCAAAGGAAAAAATTAGAGTTTCTGTGCAAGATGTTTTCTTCAAATAATGATTGTATATTAGTATTCACAGTTAATTGTTGAAGTTTGTTATTATTATTTTTTTAATTTATGCAAAAAAATAAGCATTTACAAGCATTATATAAACCAGCTCCATATCACAAGAATGTGTGTTCTGAACACAAGTGGATTCTTTAGGGCTTGTATATCATATCATTAGAAAAACAAAGAAAAAATTAAAAATGCCAAAAATATCAAGTATCTCTTAAATTTCTTTGAACGGATAGTTTTACGTTTTTAGCACATTTTTTTATAAACGGTACTTTGTCAAATACTTTCTTTGTATATTTATTTTTGATAAATATGTTCACAAATTCTAATAAAAGGCTTTGTTTACTTTGATATGTGCATGCTATGATAAGCTTTTTGTTTTTCGTTGGAAAACAAAACAGAGAACTTTAGTTTTCTTATGTTCATTAAACAACATAACATACTTTTCTACTATTTAACATGTTCGACCTTCAAAATACCAAGAAAAATATATCAATCATGCTGTAAATTGTGACTATTATTGATATACATTAAAATTTAAAATTACAATTTTTGTGTGACCCTACTTCATTGTTTCAACTGTGAAACTAATGAATACTTCCGTAATTTAAGAGTTGAAAAAATTACTTGTTAAACATCCTAAAAAATAAATCTACTTTAAAAATCATTGGTGATGTTAAGTTGGCTAGTTTTACCAAACAGAGCAATCCATTCCAGTCACGGCATTAGGGGGGAGGGACTTTCCTCCTACCCTGTCACCGCGGGAGACGAGGGCTGAGCAACAGGGCGTCGAAACCCTAATAATCTCAGGGGTGGCCAGGGTTATATGAGCTCCACCCTCGCGTACAGAGGGTCCCTTTTCAACGCACACAGTCTGGTGGCTTTCGCCTCCCGAGTCGGCTCCAGCCTGCAACCATCAATCTTCTATCATGGGGCGCATGCACAGCTCTGGGTATAATCATCTCTCTTTGTTGCCGCATTCCCTCACACGCCCTTGCTGGACACGCTCCTGTAATGGCAGTGGCTGGTGTCTCTTTTCCGTGGTTGATGGGGATTAGGGTTCAGGGTTCTGGACTTTGACGGCGTTTTTGTTTTGAGGTTTTGTTGGATTGAGGTCTGAGATTCTTTGTGTGTGCAGTAAGGGTATGTCCTCTTCGGCTCTGCCGTACAAGAGGAGCCCGCCATCTTGGTTGAAGATCACAACCGCCGAGGTTGAGGAGCACATCTGCAAGCTCGCTAAGAAGGGATTAACCCCTTCTCAGATTGGTGTGATTCTGAGGGATTCGCATGGTATCGCTCAGGTCAATAGCGTTACTGGGAGCAAGGTCCTCCGTATTCTCAAAGGACACGGTAGCGATTTCCGACTTTCTCTTTAGACCTTCTGTATGCCGCACTGGAAAGTCTTGGGGCTTAAACAGTGAGCTGTCAGGGGCTATGCATGGTAAACGCTGCGTCCAAGCTGTCAGAGGTTCTATTTTTCGGACCTCAGATGGTGCTACATGAAGTCGGAACTTGGTGTAGATGAATTGTTTAAATTTCATTATTTTTCCTTCTTAAGGCTTACTAGACCATTTGCATGGCGTTCAGGTCTGGGTCCTGAGATCCCTGAAGACCTGTACCACTTGATCAAGAAGGCCGTTGCCGTGCGTAAGCATTTGGAGAGGAACCGCAAAGATAAGGATTCCAAGTTCCGTTTGATTTTGATCGAGAGCCGTGTACACCGGTTAGCTCGCTACTACAAGCGCACAAAGAAGCTTCCCCCCACCTGGAAGTAGTAAGTTACCATATCCACACTGACTTCGTAGGCTTCTGTTTGCACCATCTTCCACTTTTTTATAATTCTCACATTTAGGTACTCTAAAAACATATCTTTTTGCACCTAAGTCAATAAATGGAAAGAAGAATAGAATTGAGTAGACTCTTATCTGACAGGAGTAGTTTCCCGTTTCATGACTCCGACTGGTGAGACCTTTTAGTTCAAGCACTCCACATGTCCTTCAAGTCTGTCTCATGAATAATCTCCATTGAACTGAGCTATGAAATATTTGTGTTTGTGTGCAGTGAGTCTGCCACCGCCAGTACACTCGTTGCTTAGGTGAAGAGGCCACTCGATTGCCTCCAGATTGAAGAAGCTCTTGCGGCGACACCTAGCTTTGCATTCCAACTGTGTACTGAACAAAGACATGCGTTAATTGAAACACTCCGTCTTCAGGTTGCCACTGTTAGTATTTGTGAAACTTTGCACTGAAATCGGATTTTTTACTGTTATATTTGCCTGAAATATACTGCCCAGATCTTTCTTATTGCACTTCTGGGAGATTTCGAACTTTCAACTCCTCAATGTCGTGGATTCTACCTGATGTTTAATGTAGAAGTACATGCCAGCTTTCGAAGCCAAAATTTTGTATTGCCACGTTTGCATGAACTCTGCCAGTAAAATAGTGATGTACATGGCTTGAATATATGTGAGAAATTGATATAATTGTGGAATAATTTTATTTTTTAACAATGGTAATCTTCACTTCCTTTTTCAAGCCACTTCGCAAAAACTAGGTTGATGCTATTTATTATGTTTCTCATTGATGTTAAAGCAACCTGTCACTCAAATTTTGTGAAAGAATAAGTGTCACCAGTCCAGTAGAAAACATAATATTCAGTTCACCGAATGAGCGGTAAAATGTGCCAAAAAATACAATATCGAAAAAGTTTTCTTACATATGAAAAGGTTCAAGAATCGTAAGTTACTGACAATTCACTAAGCACATACAGTAGGAGTATGTGTCCAGTTACATTTTGTTAATTTGTGAAAACACAATTTTACAGGTGCGTGAACACTGGGGCAATATCTTCATCATATAACTTGAAAGAACTGAACCGAATTATCTCGTTGCACGCGGTCATTGTCCAGAACAATTTGAATATCACCATTAATGTGAAAGTACAGCAAAAACAGTAAAGATATTTAGAATGTGAGGTTTACTCATTTACTACAACCCAGTAGCATGCATGCTTAGCAAATCGATAAAAAGGCATACTCTAAATACAATTGAACTTGTAAAATTTTTGTGCGAAAAAGGACAGATTAAAATGCACTTAAATTTTTGAAAACATAAATTCTTCAAATTTGAAAACATAAATTCTTCAATTTTAATTTATAATTTTTTTTTCAAATTACATAGAAATTAAAATTAATTTCAATAAAAATCGATTAAAAAGTTAGTAAAAAAAAGTTGGGATGGCAATAACAAAAACTATGGTGGCATTAGCAACTCCTTACATTTGTTATGTTTGTTGTATACAAATAATGTCCACTAGGTTCTTATAATTTAACTTGATAAATTTACCAACACAAATTATATCATATCTTCAATGTCTCTCTTCCTGGCATTGTTTGGAAGAACACTTAAGTGTACTCGGTGTGACTTCTCTGGTCTTCTCTACTCCATGGTTGCATAGTTAGGTTGTCCTCTCTCAACACTATGAAGGATCTTAACCATTAGGGAAGGCATCTCTTGCCCTCATCTGGATTCAACTCCCTTCAAACAATATAAGTCACTCTTGGATTGATTAGCAATGAATGTAAATTGTCTCATACATGTCGTTTGAATTAACACCTTGTAACAAAGCTACTACACTACCTTAGGATTGTTTTATGCTAACGAAACATTAAATGTGGTGAGAGCCTAGAAACACCATGTTTCGTAAGCCCTCCTAAGAATCTCGTCTTCACCACTCTCCAAATTGGTGTGGGCTTCAACATGGTGGATATTTTGTAACTTCTTCTTCCTCTCAAAAACACAAAGATCATTTCAAGGCTTTGCCAAATTTGAATAGATACCTAAATTTGATTGATAAGAGAAAAATAATGCACAATATTTGTCCACTCAAATAGCTACTACATCTACAATAACCACACTACAATGATCTTCTACATTGATGTTTATTTCAATCCCAGCCTATCCTATTCTATCTTCTTCCTTCTAAATCAAACAAATTCTTATTTTGCTGGTTGAGGTTATTAAAGCCTTTGGTTCCTAACTTGGCGTCATCACTGTAATAAATACTAATTTAGAAGCTACACTAATTATTAAAGTAGTAGCTTCTCTATACGTTGTTAAAATCAGTCTACCTATTGTAGATGCTAGATCCTTCTTATAGTTTTAATTCTCCTAGATAGTCTCTTTATTTCTCCACAGATTTATCTCTTTAGGGATATGCTTTAATTCAATAATCATCCATTTTAAAAATCAAGACATGACTTGTTATTTTAATGGGGGTAAGATTCTTCATGCTTTAGATCCCGTTGAGCAACCTCTTTGAGCTGACACCATTCCTAGCAACGTCAAGTTGTCAACTGGCCTACAGTTTGATCCCAAAGCTAAGTCTTGGTTATCAACGCAAAATTAACCATATGAAATTTGCATAGCTCTTTGACTCAAATTGCTTAAATATTGGCCACGGCAACTTGAGCGTTGGCACGCCATAACTCTTCCTTAGATTGCCGGAGCTCTTTTATAAGGACTTTCATTAGCACCATTAGCATGTTTATTCTCTGGGACAAGCTTGTACAACAATAATAATGTGTGGATCACATGGGTTACAATCTTCTTAGGATACGGAAAGAACGGCTCAAATGCAGACACATTACCAATAATTGAATCAAATGAAACTGGCATTTACCACCGACAGTAGACTCCGATGAAACTGGCATCGGCAAACAAGAGGTGACTGAGTTAGAACTGGAGTCGACTGCCCACAAATTGATGTGGCTGGAGCCCACTTGAGCTCGGTGAGAACCTTCACTCCCCTGTTCTGTAGTGTTTGAAACTCAAAGAGAAATAGGGAGTGTGTATTCTAATCCCCAGCAGGTGATACCTCCTCGTCGTCTCGAATCCTGGCCTTGCCTGCAACTCAGGTTCCATGGATTTATGAGTTTGTTCATGGACCTTGCGCCAGTTCTACTAAGAGCTACTAGGTTGACGGAGTTTAATGAACGATATGGCTTGACCACCTCATCTCATGTGGCTGTGCTCGTACGGACCTATTCGAGCGTGTCACAGACAAAACAGAGCTTCGAACAGGTCCTTACGAGCACAGAGCGTGTGGTATGAACTTGCTCGATGAAAGGAGGCCGACAGTTTACTTGACTATGGAAATTCACTCCAGGGGGGGGGGGGGGGTTCTTCGTTGGCCAGTCAGTGCATGTATCCGTAAAACGCCTTCTGCATTGGCTTGCTCGTGAAAAACTCTTCAGGAGAAAGTAGTTCATTTCATCTAAATCACTATTGAAAACCGTTGCGTCGGTGACTTGCCTGGTGCTCGTTTCCAACTGAAAGCCAGGCAGGAGCTTGTATAGATATTTCATGTTTTCCGCTTGGTCCTGACTACATGCTCGAGTACTTCAGGTTGCTGCAGGGTAACCCGAGTGCAAGTGCGCAAAATGCACTGGGAAGAAACCAACAAGGAATCAAGCGTCACAGGATCGAAATCATGTGGAATCGCAAAATTGCTCCTGTTTCTCTTCTGGCTGATGAGCTTCATCCTCTCCTGTGGTTGCCAGTCGGAGTCACGGAGCACTATCGCCTCCAACTCCATCATGATGTCCAACATAACATTGGTATCGCCAGGAGGTTTTTTCTGAGTTTGTTCTTGTCATCTACCATGAAGGAGGTAGGCCAAGATTGTGTGATGCTCTTTCTTGCTCACCCTCTATCATGTGCAGCATGTTGTTGAATCCATGCTAATCCAGGTCCTTCATTCTTCAAATAGTCATAGTTAGCATGCCCAAGATTTGACTTTTGGACATCAAGCTATGTAGAGAGACCACTCAACATGGGTTGTGGATTTGATTGAGCAATTTTGTTGGAGTGTGAAGTGTGATAACATGTTTCGCATTCAACAAGATTTGATTCAAATATCAGAATTGGGAGCTGGGGGGGAAAAGATTACTCACAACATGGAAGAACACGGAAGGGGCCGGGTGGAATTAAGAACAAGGAAGAGGTCGGGTGGGATTAGGAATAGGAAAGGGGTCAGGATGCAGTTCGGGAACTTGGGATACAAAGATGAGGGACAAAAGGGGTGCAATGATGACTAAGATAGAAGGCTAAGATAGAGTGGGTCACTTTAGTAAAAATTTGGATCTCTTTATTATTCCCCTATATATATTACATTCAGTCACAAGACAGTCATGCCCCTGGAATGCTATACCATTTGAAAAACGAAGTATTTTAATTTGAAAATAAAGGCAAATTTTATATTTTGAAAAAGTGACACAGTTGCTGAATTATTTGAATACTCTAGTGAACGATACGCGTTCAAATAAATGACACCCTCAGTAAGTCCTACGACGCTCTACAAGAGGCCATGAAACCTCTGAAACAGTCCCACCAGGTCTCTACTCTGAGGTCGATTTCTTTAAATAAGCGATTAGATCTGCACGTTCTTGAGGTTTTTTCAAACCAGGGAATACCATCTTCGTACCAGGAATATACTGCAGCCATCACTCCACGCGCAATACGTTAGACATGAACATTGCATTTAGTTCTATGTTATATTTTAGAGCTAGTTGCTAGTTCAATTCAAATCCTCGTCGTCGTGTCTAACTACAAGAACAGAAAGCAAGAGTACAAAATGACTGCCTCCAACTGCGTTTGGACCTTTGAACACATCTGACAGGCAACAGACTAACCTTCTTAGGATTCAATAGGTACTCGTATAGATGCTCCTCGTTCCAATCAACAGCCTTGTCCCTGTTAGCTTTCGAGTAAGTGTACCCAGCTGTAGTTCCCGACGTCCTCCCGAACAAACCATGCAAGTTAGGTCCTGCATGTCAATTCAATAACGCGTCATACACCGCCCGCAGAATCAAGAAACAAACAGAACGCATCTAGGCTGCTAACTTCAGAATCCTTCCACAACGCCATCCATAATAGAAATATAAGTACAGTACGCAGAAAAAAAAAATATCAAAATGATAGATCTCATCCTTGAGCTCAGAATCCTCTATGGTTTCAACAAAGAAAATCTGGTGAAACATGCATACCACTAAATTCTACTCAAAGAACTGTCAAACTAGACTGCGTAGAAAATGAGTTGTACTTCACCGCCTCTGAATTCGCAAAATGTCAAATGATGCTATCGCGAGCACAGAAGCAATAAAAACCACAAAAATACACACACCACAGTTCCTTCAACTTAAGGACACTGAGCTTCAAAACTATCTGTACAATAAAAAGAAAGGCAAAAAAAATACTATTAGAAGTATGTACATAGCGTAAGTCTAACTCCTCGCTCAAGTACGGAAGGGAAATACTTACAGGAGGATAATTGGGACAAGTTAGGTCCTTCACTCTCGACGGAACTACTCATAACCTAAAGCAATTGTTCATACTGTAGAACATTATAAGACAACCTGGTCCTTTGGTGGATCCGATTAAAAGTCTTTAGGCTCTTAGACTTAAAATTTACATTAGACCTCCCTGATTATGTCGAGATACAGTTTGAAAAGAACCCACGGAATAAAATCGAGCACCATGTCCAAGTTCCAACAGTTTTTCTCTATTGAAAATAAAAATAAAAATAAACTATCAAATTAGATACAAGTCGCGCTCAAGATAACATTGAAATCACATCGTCATATACATGACTATCTAAAGGAGCCACAAATTCAAGAAATAAACTCAGCAATTTCTGGTCTAATCAAGAAAAACCAAGCCCGTACATAGACGTAATCGGATTCATTCTATCTGAACCATGCGATCGATGCTCAAATGAGTAGGAATACAACTCTACGACCAACAAACCATGAAGGGAACCCAATCTGCACAACGAGAACTTCTATCCATAGTATAAGCTAACACACTCCAGGTCTCTTCACCTCTCCGGATCTCTTCCAGCTCAACCACAAACACACCCATGTACTTCACAACCCCCATAAAAACACAACCCACAAACAGCGAGAGCTAACAATACCCAATCTCAATCCACAAACAACCCATAAAGGAAACTTAGGGCGACGCCATCAAGAAGGGCAGTCCATGTAACAGAACCACATCGGGATAGAGAGAGAGACGAGTACCTTGCTTGTGGCCAGCGGACTTCTCAACAGCGTGACATTGCGCGCACTTGGTCTTGAAGATCTTCTCACCGGCCTTCTCGTTACCCTTGGGGGCCTCAGCGAAAGAGGCCATGGCGGACTAGAAGAAACACAGAGACACACACACACACATACACTAGAGATTCAGGACAACCGCAGAAACACGAGACAACCGCAGCAACAACGAGACGCAGCAGAACACAGTCGGAGAGCCCCAATTATGGAACCAAACTAAGGCGAAGGCGAAGGACTGGCTTGGCCGAGGGAGGGCAATGGCTTCCAGGGAACTTGGTCGCCGTTGATTAGCGCTGCGATGGTGACGCGGCGAGTTCCGGAGTGCACTCGCGCCGTCAAGAAGCTTCGCGGAGACTGCAACCGGGCTCGCCACCACGTGGACCCTTTCGGCGTCAACCAACTCTCGTGCTTGCCTCCCTTCCACCTCGCTTACGTGGCGCTTTTCAAGAGCTAACGTGGCCGTTTGCGACTGACCACACATGTTTTCCTTTGTATTTTACGAGGCGAATGTTTTCACTTCAAAAGCATGAACAATTTCCATGGTGACCAAATTATTGGTGTTTATCCTTTGTGATTGTAATGCTGTTCTTCAATATTTTCGGAAAATTTTATTTTTCAATACAATCTAGATTAAATAAAAAGTTTCTAAGGTTGTATGAAATTATTGCAATCAATGCACTGATGTACAATTATATTGTGTTAATAAAATCTGTGCCCAATTCACTTTTCTTTTTATAACCTTTAACTATTAAAAATCTTCAAAAAAAAGTGTCATATTGTAAATCTCTTTTGGAAGTCACTAATTTTTTAATACAGATGTTAAATTTCTATAATCCGTTTATATTTTTTTATGTTGATTTTGACATGAAATGAGAAAAATAAAAAAAATAAACTGAAAATCCTAAAGGTGTAGAGCAAAAATATTCTTTTAGTGAAGAAAAATCCAAATCATTGCAATGACAATTAAGAATTTATGACATACTATGCAGAATCAATTGTACTTTTTAGCAATAATATGTGATGATTTTTTGATCTTATTATTGTTTGTATTCTTATAGCACAATATATCTATCTTTATTGATATGTATATATATATATATATATATATATGTTCCATCAATATAGCAATTTGTAACAAAAATAAATAAGTAAATATAAAAATAAGCAATTTTATTTAATATAATTTCTTTATTTAAATTCTCCATATATTTTTGAAAAAACCAAGAGAATTATCCATTTATATTAAATGCTTAATAACTAACATTTATATTTCTATTAACTTTACAACTTTGGATTTTAAATCACTTTAAAATGTTTAGTCACAAATTGTGATATTCTAATTATTTTAGCCATTTAAATATCAATATTACAAAATAGTCTTAATTTTATTTTTTCCATTTTTTATAAAAAAACATTGCAAGTCTTGATTCTAGGTAAAATCATTTATTCATCTTATAAGCATTCAACAAAAACCTTTAAAAATTCAAAATCGGCTTTATTAAAATCAATGTCTTTTATGGTTATTAATGTGATTTTATCTTTAAAATATATATAGTAATATGAATTTTTTCATAATTTTAAATTTTCTATTTAAATATATTTTAATATGAATATATTTAAAATAAACTAAAATTTAAACATCAAAATTTTTATTCTTTAATTCAAATAATATTATATATGTAATTCAAATAATATTATAATATATATGTATATATATATATATATACATATGATATTATAATATATATGCTTAAATAAAGTAAGTATGATGAATATATTGTTAGAGACATATATATTTACTCTAATAATTATTTATATAATATAAATAGATAGAAGTAGGTAAAAATAGATTAATTTGATAATATCTTCTAAAAATGCTTTGTAAAAGCTTAATAGATGTGATTTCACATTTATACGTGTTTGTAGGTGATTAATAGGTTGAACACTTAGCCAACAAGTTAGCCACGTATCATATATGTTAAAAGTTTTTGGTATAAATTAATGAAATGGCACACATATAAGAAACTTGTCTTATAATTTAAGGTACATGTCTTGCAAGTTATACACATATCAAAGGTCCTAGAGAACATCACCATGTAGCTCTTAGTTACATAATATACAAGGATGTAAGAGTGAAGCCTTTTTTACTTTTGATTTTTTTTTTCTTCTAGTTTAATTTCAAGACTATTTGGATTTTTAATCTTAAGCAATAGCCATTCTAGTTTCTTCTTTAATATATATATTTTTGTATTATTATTTTGTTATCTTTCTTTGATACCTATCTCACTTGTTTACTTATCTTTTTTAAATTCTTGTTCTTGACAGATTGACGAAGATACAATTATAATATTAGAGCTTTGTCTTTTTTTGATTAAGAATAGATTATTCCTCCGAGTTTGTCCAGCTATAATAGAAATCATGCAATTAGAACCTTATATAATACCTAGTAAAGATTTTATTTTCTCTTCAAAATCCTCTTCTTGTTTTACAATAGATGTTAGTTTAAGATCTAAATATTTCAAAGCTTTTGTTTTGCTAGATTTAAGAGCCTCAATTTGTTTTTTAGATAAAAAATTTGTTAAAAGATATAGCATTTTATTACTTAAGGAAACTAAATTTGTTCATGTAAAAGTCATAGATGGTTGTTTATTGTCTTCTAGAGATGTTATTCATGAAATCCTTCTTATAGAAATAGCCACTAATGGTCATAATAACTTAATAAGATTTGAAATTATTAAATCTTCTTCTATTCTAACTATTTTAGATTTATTGTAGCTAAAAAAATATAATCCTTAAATAAATTGGATTTCTCATTGTCTTAATTTTTTAAAAAATATACCTAAGAGTGTTGTTAATCAAACAAAAAGTCATTAGTTTAGTGCAGCCAAACATATATTTATTGATACTAGAGTTTTTTTGGATGTTATAGAAAAAGTGTCTCCTTGTATTATTTATACTACATTTGTTTCTAATAGTAGAAAGACTTCAAGTGGCATTCTAAGCCAATATCAAGATTATCAAGATATCTATGAAAATAAGAATATAGATACTCTTCCAAAAAATTATTCTAAATTGACCTTCAAGAAGAAGTTCAACTGCCATTTGGACCAATCTATAGTTTATCACAAAATAAATTAGTTGAATTCAAGGAATATATTGAAGAAAATTTGATGAAGAATTTTATATGCCATTTAAAATTTCCAATAGGAGCTCCAACATTATTTATGAAGAAAAAAAAATTAATCACTATGGATTTGTGTAGATTATTGAGGACTTAATAAGATCACCATCAAGAGTAGGTACCTTCTACCTTTGATATCTAGATTTCTTGATTAATTGAATAAAGCAAAAATTTATATAAAAATAGATCTATAAAAAGTATACAATTTAATATGCATCAAAAAAAGAGATGAATAGAAGATTGTATTTTGAATTAAGTATGGACATTTTGAATATAATATCATGTCCTTAGGACTTACAAATACACTTGCAGCTTTTCAACATCTAATGAATGATGTCTTTCAAAATTTTTTAGATAATTTTATTATTTTTTATTTAAAAAATATTTTAATCTACTCTAAGAATATAAAAGAACATGAACTCTATATTTGTTATATTTTATAAAAAGTAAAAGATATAAGATTCTATGTCAAGGTAAAAAAGTATATATTTTACACTACTTAAGTCAACTTCTTAAGATACAACATTTCAAATGATGGACTTATGATAGATCTCAAGAAATTTTAAACTATCATGGATTAAAAGATTTTAAATATATATATATATATATATATATATATATATATATATTGAATATTTTTTTAAGTTTATCAATTATTATTGGATTTATATTAAGAATTTTTTTTAAGTAGAATAAAGAAAAAAAAAGTAGTATTTGAAGCTTCAAACATAACTTTTGTTTTTGCACCAATCTTATATTGTATCAACTTTTTCAAGCCATTCTTTACAAAAACATATGCATTGGACTTTATTTTAGATGCCATATAGTAAAAAATGAGAGCAAATGATAATATTAAAATTTCTTAAATAGAAAGCTATTGAATGAAGTTTATATTTGATTTCATTTTTTATTATTAATAATCAAAATAAACTATAAGATCTACAATAAAGTAAATTATGGATTACAAAAACCTTGAATATTTCATGTGAGTACATATTTTGAATTGTTGCCAAAGTCATTAGAATATGTCCTTATCAAGATTCAAATTTAAGATTATTTATTGACTATGAAAATAATAATATTTATCATATGTCCTTTCTAAAAGATATTATTTTGCATTAAAGCAAGATATACAAATTTTGAACAATAATAGATCATTTTTTTGAAATTAGAGCAATTTCATTTTTAAGCAATGAAATAAATACTAACTATTGATGTAGCTTTTTTTTTTAGGTATGTTTAGTCAAGTATGTCCATTAATTTTCTTGTTTGTAATATTAAAAAAAAACTATAAAATTTCATAATATTTCTAAATTTTAATTTAAGCATAATTTTTATATTTTGAGGGATAGTTATATATTTTAAAAGATGAAGCATAATTATATATTCTTCAAGCTCGTTACAACTTCTTAGCAATTAGATATTTTGGATAAAATAAGATTTTAGAACAAATATCTAAAGATTTTTAGTAGCTTCAAATATAGAAGGCAATTAAAAAATTTGTATAATCTTGTGACATTTTTTTAAGATAATAAACTCCTTATTATCAATCTTATATAATTCTTCACCTGTTACTCAATCTACAATAAATATGGTCTTTTCTATCTATAGATTTTATGAAAAATATTTTAGTTTTAAATTCATATGATTCTATATTTGTGATAGTAAATTTTTTTACTGAGATTGCACATTTTATACTATATACAAAATCTATTATATATGAAGAAACAACTAAATTTTTTCTTAACAACATATATTACTATCATGGATTATCAAAGAATATTACATCAAATAAGAAGACTCAATTTGTATTAAGGTTTTAGAGAATTTTTTATAAGATTTTAAAAGTAGACATAAAATTATTTTTGATTTTCCATCTTCAAATTGATGGACAAACAAATCACATAAATCAAGTTTTGAAGTACTATTTAATATGTATTATTAACCACCAACAAGATGATTGGACAATTCTTTTGTCATTGGTACAATTTGCTTGTAATAACATGATATACTCATCTACTCAAAAAACATCTTTTTTTACTAATTATGATTATAATTTATAACTTGATACTTTTGACTT